AACTACAGACCCGCAATCGCATCCAGATGCAACCAGATGACTGTTGCCGGTCAGTTCCCTCCGTGCCCCCCTCCGCCCCCCCCCACCGTTCACAAACAAACACGCACAAAAAGAAATGGAGCTGTGGAACACAGAACAACCAATCATACAAATCCAGACTTCATGGCCCCATCCATCTATTCTCCCCCCACTCCCCCCCCTCCCCCCTTCCCCTTATTCTTCTCTCAATTTCACCTTTCACTATCTACCTACCGCTACTCCTAAGCCTATACAGGGGGGAAACCTGCAAGCCTAATGGCATGAAAGTGACCAGGGAAAAGAAAAAAGAAAATGACCACGTAGTCGGTAAGCAGTGAAGTGGAGATCATTAACAAGCATGGGAAATCCACCACTGTTTAAATAGACACTAACAAAGCAGTTCGATAGAGATCAGACGGTTTGCGCGATTCAAACTGATTCGCAGGTTCTAGCACACAGGTGCACCCTAGCCCGCGCATACATCCTTCGTTACACTAGGACACTATATATGGAGAGTGTGACGAGGCCGAGGCAGAGCAGCGAGACTGCGAGAGAGAGGGAGAGTGAGAACATACACACACGCTCACTCAACTCGACGCAGACTCAACACAACTCGATGGACGCAGACACAAAGTGGCAAAGTCGCAAAGTCGCAGTCTTGAATTCCCGAACACAATGTTGCAGCAAAGTCACACTGAACACAAGCACTGAGGCTGAGAACTGGTTGCTCGTACTGGGCTTGAGTCCATACATAAGTACCGGACTCAAGTTGGTCCTGACGGCAAAAGTGAAAATGCCTCAGGGCCAGAACTGAAAATCGGAAGTCTAAGAGTGAGCGCCAGAATGTCGGATGGCGTCAAGTGCCCGAAATCCGTAAGTCCTAAAAGAAGGATTTTGAAAACGGCCGCCAGGAATGCAGATGGCGCCAACTGTCTGAAATCAGAAAAAGCAAAAACAAAGAAAAGAAAACAAGAAAATTGTAAAAACGAAAAAAAAAAAAAAAAACCAGCAAGCTGGCGGGTGGTAGCCCGCAGACCAGGGATCGAGCTCTGGTGGAGTCCGTAACAAAGAGACCTCTGGACCTCCAACCAATTTCAGGAGATGAACACTTGCAAGTAGGAATGAATGTGTGAGGCTTGCCTTTCACAGTGAACACATTCAATCCATCATGGCATGCGGTAAGCCCGCTGCCATCACCCCCCTCTGCCTCCTGCTCAGGTGATCATCACAGCCATTGTCAACAGCTTTTTTTTTTTTTTTTTTAATAAATATCAGTATTTTATTTATCTGCTTCCAATGGAGTTCGAACTCAGGTCTGTATTTCAACAGTTCAGTGGACTCTACCGTCTTCACCCGAATAGAACGCCCGGTAATTATGGCTGTACCGGGACTGAAAGCTGCATCAAATACAGCTATAACGACCCGGCGTTCTATTCGGGTGAAGACGGTAGTACCTAGATCTCGCATCAATCCATACATTCCACTTTCCTGCACTCTCCCCCACCTGCATACATCACTTCAACGCAGGAGAACTACGTGTGTGAGAGGCA